CTTAGATTATCTAGCCCTCAACTGGGAAATCTATACATTGCTACACATATATGCCCATAAAAGAAATAGGAATGATTGAAAAGCTTCAAAAACAAAGTTTTAGAATGAAGAACCAGAAAAGGAAGAACAAAAGAATCATCTTGAAGCAGAGATGTTTGGGCCAGCACCAAAGCCTACAACACCAGAACATTTTCAGGTAAAATATTAAGAGAACAAAAAATGTGATTTTTCTATCTGCTGCTGAATTTAGTTGTAATTTCCCAAAGTTTCAGTTCAATTTAGTTCCACGATGTCAGTTATATGGAAAGGAAAGTGAATATAAAGGATGAAAATTTATCTAAGTGCCTAGAATATTCTATAGGCTGCAACAATCAGAAATATCTCATGCCATTTCTCTTGTAAGTAAAAAGCAACCGAAACTACTTTAATTGAACTATGATTGGTGTATGTTTCATTGCTTATAAAACCAGAAAGCGTATTCTTGATAATACAAGGCTTTATTACAAAGCACTACAAGAATCTTTATACATGTTCTCATCTACAGGCTCAAACCATTTCTGCACAATTGCTGATTTAAAACATATACTTGGAATTTAAAGTACTGAAAGAAAAAGCAATTCCAACCCAAGACTAGTCCAGAATACATGTAATATCTTGGAGTTTTGTGCTAAGCTATGGAATGGAAATGGAAAAGTTCTGGCTTCAATTAAATATCAATCTTTAAAATCATCTGTATCAGTATAGGTATTTTGAATTCAATTTTTAAGTTTTTTTAGACATCCACCAAGCATGAGAAAATGCCCCTGCATGTTGTTCACGTTTCTAACACACACATTAAATGTTTTTATACAGTGAAACTGCAGCTATGATATCATAAATGGGTGATCCTTCCCAGAAATTTTCCCAAAGAGTACAAGTCAGTGAATCTATTGGATTTCTCTTTCCCCTAATCTGATATATGTCCAGTATGCAATGTTGCCCTCTCAGCCAGAAGACAAATATAACTCAAATAATAATAAATGAACCAAAATGTTATTTACCAACAGCAAATAAAATGGTTAAAACAAAGACATGCCTTTTCTTCCATCCTACTACTTGAACTTAATTAGTCTAAATATTTAACACAGTGAAAACAAAAAATGAGAAGCAAGTTCAAAATCTAGTTAGCCCTATTCTATCATCTCAAGGCAAAAATGTGTGTGTTGGCCTCAACTAACTTAATTCCTAACACTGCAACACTTTCTATAAAGCTGGAAGCCCTTGATTCATGTTGAAACAAAATTACAAACGACAGAAGAAAAGAAGCCTCTCAAGGCATCTGAAGCTGTTCTCCAGAGCATCACTTTCTGCATGCAGCAAGGAAGGCTCAAGCTGAAAACAGACACATGACAGATTCAGCAGGATTTGCTACAAGGACTTGTATCTTGACCCCAATTCCCTAATGCTCCCTGCAGTATAAACTGGGCACGGAATTCAGCCTAGTGCTACATAGTTCTCTGCAGAAAGGGCTCACATTTTTCCACAGCTGGTTCCCAACTGTTGCCCTTACAGTGCAAGCTGTGTTTCACAGGAAAGCTTGATACTAAGCAATGCCAGACAGTAATGCAAAACCTCCTTTGAGACAGAACTGAGGGAGGGGTAATGTGGGAGGAGCCAAAAGATCTTTCAGAGATTGCTGTGGCCATTTCCAGGTAGGGCAGCAGCTATTCTGGAATACCCCATGGCTGCAACTTCTACATATCCACTTCCCCCACCACTTACAGGGCTAATCACCCCCTGGAGTGTCCTGACCTTTCCTGATGTCAACATTTGTTGTATTGTCAATGGGCACAAAAGAATTGCCTATGCCTTCTCTCCAGGGGAAAGGATGAAGCAGGAGGTAACAGGAGCAGATCAGGCAACAGAAGCCGGTACTGCCTACTACATAATCTTGCAGAATGCCAGAATTTATATGCCCTATGCAAATGGCAGAATGTTGTAGCAGAATGTAGTAAGAGTTTCAAGGTTCAAACTAGGCATCTGTCATCTGATCATATGCCTGTCAAAATCAAAAGGGAATCAAACCACAGTTTGTAACTTGCTGCAAGGACAATACTTGGGTATTGCTTGAAAACAAAATGAATAAAAGAATCTAACTTGTGACCTCCTAAGGCCTGAACAACACAATAAACCAATTTAGGGTATTGTACAACAGGGAGTAGCTGCTTCAGTGCTGCTGGGAATACAATGAGTATTAAAGGCAGATAGATTAAAGTTGCTTGAATTAAATCTGCCTAAGTAGTTCAGGTAGAATGCAGAATATTTTTCAAATTAACGAAGACATGAAATAGGTTTTCTTTAAATGAAAGCCCAATTTCCATCTGCATTTAACCTTAGAATAAGTCTTCAGTGTGCATCCTGAACTTTTTTTAAAAGAAAAATGTACAACTTTGCAAATTATACATTAGTTTGTCCTAAATATGGGGAAAGGATGTTCCTCGAGCCCTCAGAAATGTATTAAAGCACTCCATCTCCACTTCCATTCAGACATTAATAATCATTAATCATTCTATATTTATGAGAGTCATAAAGCCTAAGAATTTGTTTTATAATTCAAAGTGTGGGATTCTCATTTTAATTCTATATCCATTCAACACCCTGTTGTTATTAGTCCCCATTCCTATCCTTTTCTACTTGGAGCATAATCACAGAACAGGTATCAGCCTGTTTATATTTGTAAACACAGAATTTAATTCCTGACAAATAGGCATATCCATCTCCATTTCAGGTTGTAAAAATTAACCTTCTTCAACCTGATACCTTCTAGTTATGCAGAACTATATCATTCCTGTCATTCTCTAGTAAGTTGAGGAACAACAAGCAACATCTCTTTGGTAAGTTTCATCTATTATGTCTTCATATACTGTATTGTTTCACTAGTTATAATGGGCCTTAAATATATCCTACTATCAATTCTATAATACTTATTTCCCACTTTCTTCTTAATATTCATTTTATAACCTAGGCATCACAGCATATTATATATAGGCATCTATTTTCACTTGGGTGCTATAAAAGCTAATTAAGTGGTATAATAATTAGTTATGATTAGAATGGGTTCTAATTTCACTTCAGTCATGAATTCAGTAGGTAATTTTAAATAAGCCTTTCTAGGGAATGTCTGCCTTATAGGATTGCTTTTCTGAACATTTGGAAAACCAGTAAAATATTAATTACAATTATGCTTTTATATTAGATTTGTTTCAAGAAAAGCATCAGAGAAATGTAAATAAGATCATATTAGAGATGACAGTCACTCTGGACTAATCTATTTGATAGTGACACTGTATACAGGCAGTCCTTGACCACAATTGAGCCCAAAATTTCTGTTGCTGAGACCATTATTAAATGAATTTTGCCCCATTTTACAACCTTTCTTGCCACAGTTATTAAGTGAATCACTGTAGTTGATAAGTTATTAACCCGGTTGTTAAGTGAATCTGGCTTCCCTATTGACTTTGCTTGTCAAAAGATTGCAAAAGGGGATCACATGATCCCAGGACACTGTAACCGTCATAAATATGAACCAGTTGCCCAGGATCCAAATTTTGATTACATGACCACAGCGATGCTACAATGGTTGTGTGAAAAATTGTCATGTCACTTTTTTCAGCGATACTAACTTTTAGTGTTCACTAAATGAACTGTTGTAAGTCAAGGACTACCTATAGTTTTTACTGAACCAGCAGTCATGAAACTACCCATCAGAAAGATCAAATAGTGTAGAATTGTCTATATTTTTGCCATCTACTGACAAGTAACTTCAAATTTCTGAAGAGAAGCCATGCTCTCTCTTCACTCTATAACAGTGATTGGTAGTAATATACAGAGCAAAAATAGGAACTTTAAGAGATATAACATCAGAATATAGATAAATGTAATGTTTGGGTCTTTTATGAAATCTTTCCATTCTCTTGAAATCATGCTGCAATGCTTCCTTTATTATATTTCAGTTACTACAACTAGCGACATGAGTTTCACATATAAAATAAGAAACTGAAGTTTTAAGGCTGATATTTTTTGTATTATGACTTTCATAATACAACCTCAATAAATTCAGTTATTAATAGTGCTAATGTAAACAAAACACAGTGATTGATAAATACAGTATCCATAAGAACTTTTCAGATGTCTGTATCAGTTACTGCCCGGAACCAGAGTGAAAGACACACCCATGTTCAAGTTGATGTCATCAAACCAGCATCACACTTCACTATTAGTGAAATGACTGCTATGAATTAGAAAAAAAATACATGTGACAGTTACAGGTAAAACCATACAAGAAGGATAAAGCAGCAACAAAAGAACGATGTTGAATCTCTCTCTCTCTCAGAAAAATTCATCTCCCAGATTACTAAATATCACTAAATACCTGTGTTTTCTACAACCAGAGGAATGGTATACCTGAAACTCTTGAAGAACAAAGAGTTTGCTGACATATGCTGAGCTCAAAGGAGTGGACGGGATATATTCTAGGAATAGACAGGACAAAGCATCACTTCTCTAAGGCAGCAGTAGCAACAGAATAATTTCCTTTCCCTGTCAGATTCATCCTAAAATTACTTACGGGGAAGTGATAAACAGGAAGGATCGAAAATTTTAACAAAAGAATCCAGACAACCGCTTATTCAAAGTGGAACAGCTCGGTGGATATTAGGGGGGTCACACTACTGTAAAGAAACTGCAGAAGAGGACCATGCCAGGGACCGGGAAGTTACCCTGAAGATGAAGATGGAGCAGTCGGCCTGCTGACTAGGGGGAAGGGCATATCTACAGTAACTGGAGGAAGAAAAAAAACACCGTTTGTGGCAGAAAGCCCAAGGGGAAGAATCTGAAACTCTCCTCCGCTCCACCCGAGGGGGCACAGCACCCCCCAAACCGCACCCGACAGGTGGAATCAGGCCCTGCTTCCCTTGCCCCCCACCCAACCCCACCGCCCAACCTGGCACCGCTGCTCTCACCTGCTCCACGTTCTCCACGTTGAATTCCAGATTTTGCTGGAGGTGGAAAGCCGGGTCTCCTCGACGCTCCATGGTGCCTCCCTCCCTCCCTCCCTCCCCCCCCACAAAAAAGCCCAGAGCCTTCGTCCCCTCCCTCGCCCTGGGCTCTCAGCAAGAGCGGGGCAGCGGCATCGCGAGGAAGAGGATGGCGGGAGGCGGAGGCAGGAAAGGGGGCGCCTATCTGCAGGGCCGGCGGTCTATGTTACTCCTCTTTCAGAGGGGCGGGCGACCCCTTCGCCTGTCTCCGCAGAGAGGTTGGGCGCATGGCTGAGCCTGGAGTTTCGCCGATTCCTCCCCAATGAGTCCCCGGGTTTTTTTTTTGGGGGGGGGGGTGGGGGGGGGCGGGAAGCGCCTATCGGCTTGTCTGCAATAGGAGGAGGGGCAAGCCCTAAGCGTCCCCGGCGGGGCCAAGGGAGTGAATGGGCAGGTTTTTATACCTGCCTCTCCTCAATTAGGGGAAAGGGAGGCGACCTCCCCCACCAGGTGAATGAAACGACCCGCCGAATCAAAGGGAAAGCGATACCGATCCCTAATTTGCTTGAGGCAGGGCAAGGAATCCTTCGGTCCGCCTGCCCTTCTGTCTTTAATGGCGGAGGGAGTACCGGTCCATCTCACAGCTGAAAGATTGGCGTCTTGCCTGCCTGCCTGCCTGCCTGCCTGCCTGCCTTCCCCGCCTCCGCCTCCGCCTGGCTCGCCGACCCCTCCACTCTGCAGTTGGCGGGCCGGTCGGTCGGTCTCCCTGCCTGAGGCAGTAACTACCGCCGCCACCACCCCTATCGCGCAGCCCGACTAGCTGTTGACTGACAGTTGGGCCGGGCGATCGGAGAAGCAAACCAAATGGAGGAGGAGAATGTGGGGTCCTGGCGCGCTACAGGGTGGTCCATATCAAACGCCGTCTGCCGGCTAGTTAATCGCCCTTCCATTCAGGCAACAAGGACACCCTTTTGCCTGCCTTGCGGAGGACCAGCCTCCTTCCGTTGGATCATGGGAATTGTAGTTCTGAGTCTGATCGGCGCGATAACGAATAGGGCAAGGGCAATAATGGATGGAGTTGTAGTTTCAGGCAGGCCGTGTTTCTCTCCCACCCTCTCTCTGGGGGATAAAATGGCGTTTGATACAATGATGAGATGAGCGTGGACCTTTAATAACTGGGGATGGGGTGGGGTGGATAAAAGTCCTGGATTGTCGTGGCGCGTTTTTATTTTAATCGGTATTAACATATGTTTATTGTTCTCAGCATGTTCGTTATTTTCTAGTTCTATTTTTCCGTCTTGTCGTTTATCGTTACTGTATTTGGTTCCTTTGAAGAAGAAGCAGGATTCAAAAGATGGATCACTGAATAAAACAATCCCAAAGTTTTCACTCGAGGTGCAAATGGCCAAGATCAAATGATCACATTTTGGACCCATTATGTCAAGAGGTGTTTCTCTGAAACAAGCTCTAGTGTGGATAGGAAAAGTGGAAAGAAAGAGAAGAACAAGGTGGATGGACACAGTTACGGTAGCAGTTGCTGGAAAACATGAAGGAGCATGTTAGGCGCAGATCATCATAAAGAACATCCCTCTATACCAGGGGTCGCCAACCTTTTGGACCTCAGGAACCACCAAACTCATAATTTTAAATCCCAGGGACCACTAACCGGTTCTGTGGGCATGGCCTAATTTGTGGGTGTGGCTTGATGGTCATGTGACTGGCTAAACATGGCTTGTATGTAAATATTATAAATATTTATATAAATATTGAATTTTTTATTAAAAAAAGAACAACTTTTACCCAAAATCAGGCGAAGCAGGCAGGCAGAATGAGTTGCTCACAGAATCATTCAGAGATTAATTCAGAGATCTATCTGCCATCGGCTAGCTCAGTCTGTCACATAAAATTTGCTAGCAAGCAAACTCACAAAATTAACTCACACCATGTATGTAAATATTGCTTTTTTTTATTTTTTTAAAAAAACAACTTTTACCCAAAATCAGGCAAAGCAGGCAGGCAGATTGAGTTGCTCACAGAATCATTCAGTGATCTATCTCTGCCATTGGCTACCTGAGTCTGTCACATAAAATTTGCTTGCCATGAGTCTGCACTGAATAATAGAACTTTCAGTCCTAAGGAAGGTTCGGCTCTGCTTTTAAGCTCTAAATCTTAAGATCTAAAGACTAGCTAGAAAGGAAGAAATGCAACCATTTCCTGCTTTCTAGATAATCTAAATCTCCCCAGTAGATCAGCTGATGGTCAGAAAAAAGAAAAATAGCAATTTAGCAGGCAAGTTTGTCCGGTAAGGAGTGAGTGGGCGGGGAAGGTTCCTGCTGGCCATGTGGGTGGCAAAGCCTTGTGTTTCTGCACAGCCTGGATTAATTGCTTTGGGGGGTGCTCTGTGGGTGATATTTTTCTCTGTGGACTACCAAAATTTTCTCGGGGCCCACCAATGGGCCACGGCCCACCCGTTGGTGACTGCTGCTCTATACTGTTGCTGAGAGTTGACATCAACTTCATGGTGCATAATCAGCCATCAATCATTTTATTTCCTGGTTTCCTTTTCTCTTCTGCTGTAGCTTGTAAGAACAATTAAGTACTTATTTTAACAAATGCAGGATTAGCCCAGTCATTTCCACGCTAGATAAGTTGGATGAGTTAGGGGACTGCTTCTGGCTGCAGGAGCAAAGTTGGCCAGGCTTTCTCCAAATATTTCATGGGTTTCCTGAACAAGGCTGCTGCTGTCTCCCATGTGGGGTAGACATTGAAACAGCTCTGCCAGCTTTTGGCTGTTTGCCTCAGACAGAAAAATATATAAAGCTGGTCTGCTGAGTTCTACACAGAGTAGCTCAGAGATGCTTAAAGGAGCTCTCCAAATGTGTGTATCCTAAAGTCCCAGGTTCACATGCATTGGGTGAGCACCCCGCACGCCCAACTTCCAAATGCCTTTAATCAGTTGCAGATTTACAAGTGACCGAAGATGTAAGTTACACGATAGCAAAGCAATCATTTAAATTTATTTACTTTTTGTCCGATTTGACTAGGGAATATAGTAAAATAAAAATTAGTTTTTATTCTGATCCCATCCAGTGCAGTTTTAGGGTGAAACATTGGCACCATCAAAAGGCAAGTAGCACCACTGTTCCAGAAAAAAATGGTATCCTTTAGCTAAACTAGACTCCATTAACAGTTCATTTTATAGTGTTTCTAATCTGCTCTCAAGTGTTTTTGAACTACAGCAGGCCTGTCAAAACTCCTGGCCCACAGTTTGGATGCGTCATACGCTGGTCACACCCACGCCTGGTTTAGGGAAGGGGGGAAAAGTCCCAATACGTCATGTGACGATGCCATGTTGATGTGAGTTTGACACCCCTGAACAACAGCATCCATCACGACAAATCATGATGGAAATTTCAGTCCAGTTTAAGATATAAATGACAGATTTATAAGCCTACTAATAGGCTAAGCAAGTTATATCAGTTATCCATCGAGACTGTTCTCATGTTTTTATTTTATTTTATAATGAAAAGGAAGAAAGAACAAATGTAAAGGAGCACAAAACTCACCGAACCGGTAGTTACACCGGTTGGATCCCACCTCTGAATATCAACAATGTTTAAGCTACATGCAGCTATATTGCCAAGCTACCCAATGACATGGTAAAAAATGTGAATAAGCATTCAACTGGCAGCTTCTTTATAGATGAAAGTATATGTAAGCCCATGAAGCAACACTGACTCTTCTGTATGAAGCTCACGTTAGTCCCTTGATTATTTTATAAATTATAAATATACATTGTGCCTTTAATTAAAAATCAGTTGGATAAGACCTGATCACAAAGGCTTCAGGTTTAACAAGGAAATTAGGCAGCTATCAGGATACTCCAGAAGCTAAGCCATAATTATAAGGCCAGCATCTCTAGTTTTCAGAATTTAGACAACCACTATGTGACAGCAGAGTAATACAGAAAATGGATTATTTCTGTCATCTAGCAGCTGTCTGGATTTTTTTCAACCCAGATACGGTACATTATGCCTAATAAATGTATTAAGTTTTTTGAGTGCCAAAGATAGTTTTTTTGGCTGTCACAAACTAACACAGCTGATTCCCTGAGTATTTGGGATATTGGGCTAGTAGTACTGACTTTTAACCAGTAATCACGTGGCTAAATTTAAAGCACTGATGAGATGATGATGGTTCCCAGAAGGAAAGAACTCCCTTATTGTTCTCTTCTGACCAGCCTGACTCTGGCCAAGAAGGGAAATCTTTTAAATCCGAAAAATGAAGGAATGTTAATTAAAAGTGTGCTTTTTTAATATTCTGAAAAAGTGTAGGAAGAAAAAATTGTAAAAGTGTTCATTGTTGTTGTATGCCATCTTTTGCAAGAGAATTGGTTCTGTCAAGTCAGCCTTGACTTCTGGTTATTGTCTGGGCTCATCTCTGAAGTATTTTTGGCAAGATTGGTACAGTTTAAAGTGAGCCTTTTTATCTTTTCCTCATATTTGAGGGGGGGAAATTAAAATTTCAAACTTTATTTCCCAAGTCTGTTCAACTACAATACCTTTCATCTAGCCAAAATAGTGATTGGTTGCAGTTGGTGTTATAGTCAGATTTAGAAATTGGGGGACATGAAACTAGTAGACTATTAAAATGTACACATGGTGTATCAGTGAAGCAAAGATATCTAGAGCTACTTTATCAGTATTTGATAATGTTTTATAATGCTTTATTTGAAACCCTAAGCAAAATTTGACTCATAAATTGTAGAACTATAATAATTGGGATTTCTTGTTGTTCTTTAGTTCACTCTCATATAAGCATACACATAAGCCAAGTTTGCATTGCCTTCGCAGGCTTTATTGCTACAGGAAGTTGTTGTTGTACAAAAATAGAGTTTATCCCAATGCAAATAGAGGACAAAGAATACAAAATCAGGAGAGGAGAAATAGGAAATGCCCTTGTTAAGGCCAAGTGGGGAAAGTGGGGGGAATAGGAATTGCTGATCCTAGGCCAGGGCATAGCATCAGTTTCTAATGTATACCAGACCCACTGTCAGCTTCATAAATAGGTTGCCACCAGGGAATGAGTGGGGTACAAATAAATAAATAACTTATAGAATAAATAAGTTGGATTAGAAAATTTAAACTTTCTAAATAGGTTTAGAAAATGTCACTTCTAAGGCAGGTGGGTTCCCACTCTGCTGGTACTAAATAATGATTGAACCAGAACTGAAAACCATTGCTGCTTCCATTGCCAGCCTGGTACGTGCAGTAATCAAACTCCAAACCATTGCTAGTATGTCTGTGTATGTTGCACACCAGTATGCCACTGCCATCATTGGCTTTATACCAAACTCCTTTTCTACCCGTGGAGGCCTTGATGTGCTCCCAGTTCTGGCTTGCAAAAATCCTGATAACTACTGATAACTACTAGATGGCATCAACCTTCCTTAACCCAGATCTGGTAGCTCTAAGAAACACATCAAATTTGTCCTTTCATACATCCACACCCTTTCTGCTAAAGGATAGGCTCTCACTGGAAAAAATCATCAAACTTCTCCCAAACAAACTACAACATTATTCAATCCTCAGATAATGCACTGATTATATTCTAGCACAGGTCACAAGTTTGGAGCGACCACTGAATGTTCAGGGCACTAAATAGGCTTCCAAAATTATCCTTCATGCTTATCCACAATTGCTCCTATCTAGATGCAGTCAGAACATGTTTCTAAAGAAAAGGCAGAAGGTGGGCTCAAATGAAAACTGGGGAGAGAATTGCAGAAGATAACATGACCTAGTGAACAGCCTTCTTTCAACTACCTGGAAGAAGATCAGTTGGCATTACAAGTATCTCAAGCTAAATGCCACACCCCCATCTCATGAATAAGGTGTGAGAATTTCCAATGCTTTTTATTCAGTGGGACAAAAGGCTTGATAGGTAAGAAGATTCACAACGCTGTTGATAGACCAATCTTTAAGGGAGAAATGTCCATTCTAGAGTCATGCAAAAAAGAAAGTATACCTTCTATGGTTATTATGTATCAGGACATAGTAAAAATAATCTGGCCCTTATTAGTTCTTAAAGGTAGGTAAAGGCAACCTTAGATGCACAACAATACATGACATGTTATGCCATGTCATCATTTGTTTTACAAAAAGGAGAAGCCATGTGTGAAAAAGTAAGTACACTCTTACTGCTTCAAAAGGTATGTAGAGGCTAAATAGCAGCCAGGTGCTGCTACTCAAGTACCCTTGATCAATTGACCATCAGCAAGTGTGACTACTCTATAAAAGCCAAAATTTTAGGAGTTTGCTGGTCTCCAGTATTGAGGTTTGTGTTAACAGAATGCCAAAAAGGAAATGCATCAGTAATCATACCAGCAGAGTGGGAACCCACCTGCCTTAGAAGTTGTAAGAAGTTATAAGAAATTATAAGAAGTTATAAGAAGTTATAAGGCCATTTCTAAATAATTTAAAGTCTGCCATTCTATAGTGAAGAAGATTATTCACAAGTGGAAAATATTCAAGACAGTTGCCAATCTTCTCAGAAGAGGATGTCCCAGCAAATTCACCCCAAGGTCAGATTCTGCAATGCCCAGAGAAATTGCAAAAAATCTAAGAGTTACATCTCAGACATTACAGACCTCAGCATGTTGAAAGTTAAAATTTCATGACTGTACAATTAGAAAAAGACTGAACAAGTATGGTTTGTCTGGAAGGGTCGCCAGGATAAAGACTCTTGTCTCTAAAAAGAACATGACAGCATAGCTTAGGTTTACAAAGTTGCATCTGAACAAATCACAGAACTTCTGGAACACTGTCCTTTGGATAGATGAGACCCATATGGAGATGTTTGGCCATAATGCACAGTGCTACATTTGGTGAATACCAAACAGTATATCAGCACAAACCTCTGATACTAACCATCAAGCATGAGGGTGATGATTTAGGCTTGTTTTGCAGCCACAGGACCTGGGCACTGTGCAATTATTGAATCAACTATGAACTCCTCTGTATACCAAAGTATTCTAAGTCGAATCTGAGGCCATCTGTCCAACAGTTAAAACTTGGCCAGCATTGACCCATGGATCCTTGGACAACAATCCCATGCACACCAGCAAATCTACAATAGAATGACTAAAAAGAAAAGAATCAAGGTGTTGCAATGGCCCAATCAAAGTCCAGACATCAACCCAACTGAATGCTGTGTCAGGACCTCAAGAGAGCTATGCATAAACAAATACTCACAAATCTCAATGAACTGAAACAACATTGTAAAGAACAGCAGGCCAAATTTCCTCCACAACAGGGGTCCCCAAACTTGGAAACTTTAAGACTTGTGGACTTCAACAGCTGCCTGGAGAATTCTGGGAGTTGAAGTCTACAAGTCTTAAAGTTGCCAAGTTTGGAGACCTCTGCTCCACAACAATAAGAGAAGCTGATAAAAGTCATACAGAAAATGATTAATGATCAAGTTATTGCTGATAAGATATTGAATCATAAGGTGTACTTAGTTTTTCACACATGGCTTTTCCATTTTGGCTTTTTGTAAAAAAAAGATGACATGGTGTAATATGTCATGTGTTGTTCATCTGAAGTTATATTTACCTATTTTTAAGAACTAAAGATCAGATGATTTTTTACTATGTCCTGATAAGTAAAACCATAGAATTCAAAGAGGGCGTGCTTTCTTTTTCACATGACTGTATAACTAGCATCACTGATGAGAGGTAAATGCTCTCGAAAGAAGGCCAAGATATACACTGCTCAAAAAAATAAAGGGAACACTTAAACAACACAATGTAACTCCAAGTCAATCACACTTCTGTGAAATCAAACTGTCCACTTAGGTAGCAACACTGATTGACAATCAATTTCACATGCTGTTGTGCAAATGGAATAGACAACAGGTGGAAAGCATAGGCAGTTAGCAAGACATCCCCAATAAAGGAGTGGTTCTGCAGGTGGTGACCACAGACCACTTCTCAGTTCCTATGCTTTCTGGCTGATGGTTTGGTCACTTTTGAATGCTGGTGGTCCTGTCACTATACTGGTAGAATGAGACAGAGTCTACAACCCACACAAGTGGCTCAGGTAGTGCAGCTCATCCAGGATGGCACATCAATGCGAGCTGTGGCAAGAAGGTTTGCTGTGTCTGTCAGCGTAGTGTCCAGAGCATGGAGGCGCTACCATGAGACAGGCCAGTACATCAGGAGATGTGGAGGAGGCCGTAGGAGGGCAACAGCCCAGCATCAGGACCGCTACCTCCACCTTTGTGCAAGAAGGGACAGGAGGAGCACTGCCAGAGCCCTGCAAAATGACCTCCAGCGGGCCACAAATGTGCATGTGGCTGCTCAAACGGTCAGAAACAGACTCCATGAGGGTGGTATGAGGGCCCAACATCCACAGGTGGGGGTTGTCCTTACAGCCCAACACCGTGCAGGACGTTTGGCATTTGTCAGAGAACACCAAGATTGGCAAATTCGCCACTGGTGCCCTGTGCTCTTCACAGATGAAAGCAGGTTCACACCGAGCACATGCGACAGACATGACAGGGTCTGGAGACGCTGTGGAGAACGTTCTTCTGCCTGCAACATCCTCCAGCATGACTGGTTTGGCAGTGGGTCAGTAATGGTGTGGAGTGGCATTTCTTTAGGGAACTGGACAACCCTCCATGTGCTCGCCAGAGGTAGCCTGACTGCCATTAGGTACCGAGATGAGATCCTGAGACCCCTTGTGAGACCATATGCTGGTGCGGTTGGCCCTGGGTTCCTCCTAATGCAAGACAATGCTAGATCTCATGTGGCTGGAGTGTGTCAGCAGTTCCTGCAAGACGAAGGCATTGATGCTATGGACTGGCTCGCCCGTTCCCCAGACCTGAATCCAATTGAGCACATCTGGGACATCATGTCTCGCTCCATCCACCAACGCCACGTTGCACCACAGACTGTCCAGGAGTTGGGGGATGCTTTAGTCCAGGTGTGGGAGGAGATCCCTCAGGAAACCATTTGCCACCTCATCAGGAGCATGCCCAGGCGTTGTAGGGAGGTCATACAGGCACGTGGAGGCCACACACACTACTGAGCCTTCTTTTGACTTGTTTTAAGGACATTACATCAAAGTTGGATCAGCCTGTAGTGTTTTTTTTTTCACTTTAATTTTGAGTGTAACTCCAAATCCAGACCTCCGTGGGTTGCTAAGTTTGATTTCCATTGATCATTTTTGTGTGATTTTGTTGTCAGCACATTCAACTATGTAATGAACAAAGTATTTAATAACAATATTTCATTCATTCAGATCTGGGATGTCTTATTTTTGTGTTCCCTTTATTTTTTTGAGCAGTGTATTTAGGCCAACAATACTATGCTTAGCTCCTGTTAATTGTGCATTCATTCCTTGCACCTGGACTCTAGTGTGAAGTTTATTTCTCCTCCTGCTGCCACTTACCGGCAGGGCAGGCTTATTTTTATTTTATTTATTTGTATCCCGCCTTTATCATTTTTACAAATAACTCAAGGCAGTGAACATGTCCAGCACACTTTCCTCCTATTTTCCCCACAACAACATCCCTGTAAGGTGAGTTGGGCTAAGAGAGAGGGACTGGCCCAAAGTCACCCAGCTGGCTTTCATGGTTAAGGTGGGACATGAACTCACCGTTTCCCACTTTCTAGCCTGGTGCCTTAACCACTAGACCAAATTGGCTGTCTATGATCTCTTATATCTATCTTTTATGATCTCTCTGTAGCATGAACAAGGATATATCAATTCAGAAACCCTGGGAGCGAAGATCAGATAGCATATTTAGCCCACACAACCACATGCAGCTGCTGAACCTTTTTCCACATTTTGCCAGACATTGTATATATCCAGGAAAGAGAAGTTCTCAAACAGGACGGGTCGGCAGCAAGGTTTAGACATGAAATTCTTCTCTACAGGCACAAGACCTTGCTGTGTGATGTAATTCATGACCTGGTCATAGTTAGTGCGGTAAGAATCACATGACCCACTGCAATACTTGAACAAAACAACCTCCTCAGTTTTATAGCCAAGCCCCAGGTCCTGCACATTGAGTGCGCGGCTATGTAAGCGACAAGGACCCTTCCCAGACCTTCTGGAGTTTCTCCTGGCATTTCTTGAGTGCGATGGGGAATGTGAAGTCCCGAGAAGTTCAGATGTGCTCAGGTCTTGCATGGCCACGTTTTTCCCTGGAAGAAAAAAGGGAGAGGGGTCTTAATTCTTCCTCCCAAGGAGAAAAGAATAATACAGGAGGAGTGTTCCTAAGATGAAAAAGGGCATAAATCTTGAAGAAAATACAATTCTCAACCCAGATCACCCTCTGGGAGAAAGGAAGTCTCAAAAATCCAATTGACTTGGATCAAGAATTCAAATGAAGCACCCTCTTCCCCAAGCCACTTTCCCTGGAAAAATGCCAGGTCCCTACCATGCTGGTGGTTCCACGTAGCCAGAAATGGTGTTTCCATGCTGTTATTTTCCATAGAGGCAGAGTTGACAGAGCCCAGGCTTCCTGAAGCTGCTCTCAATGTCTCTGAATTTGCCATGACTATCTCAGCAAACAGTGATAGTATAGTTAAGGTACCCCACAAATCCCGCTCCTAAGATAAGACAGGAGGATATATAACAGTAAATATGCTAATTAGGATACAAATAAAGTGGAAAGTAAGATTTGCTAAATGCAGGGCTATTTTAGATATGATGATTCCCCCCCCATGACATCACATGTGGTCAAGACGGCCTTTGCCCAGCTCTACTGGTGCATCAGTAATGGAACCTATGGGAAGGTCTTGCAACAATAATTCATATTGTGATCACTACCCAACTGGACTACTGTACCTGTCAATAGTGGTGTCCCCCAAGGCAGTGTTCTAGGATCAACTCTCTTCATACTCTACATAAATGACCTCTGTGGTCATATTAAGAGCAACTGCGTTCTCTTCGCTGATGATGTAAAGCTATTCAATACCACAGACAATACTGCCATCCTTCAAAAAGACCTCGACTATGTATCAGAATGGTCAAACAAATGGCAACTTCAAATCTCAACAAATAAATGCTCTGTCTTACATATTGGCAAAAAAAAAAATCAGAAAATAAAATACAAGCTGAATAGTCAAGACCTTGTTGGTGATCCAAACTCTGTCAAGGACCTTGGAGTACTCATCTCTAATGATCTAAGTGCTAGAGCCCACTGTAACTACATAGCCAAAAAGGCATTAAGAGTTGTTAACCTAATCCTACATAGCTTTTTCTCTGGTAATATCACACTACTAACTAGAGCATACAAAACATTTGCTAGACCAATACTTGAATACAACTCATCATCTGGAACCCGCATTATGTATCTGATATTAACACAGTTGAGAAAGTCCAGAAATATTTCACAAGAAGAGTTCTCCACTCCTCTACTCGTTGCAGAATACCTTATGCCACCAGAGTTGAAATACTAGACCTAGAAAACCTAGAACTACGCCACCTTCAGTCCGATCTAAGTATAGTATATAAAATTATACATTGCAATATCCTACCTGTCAATGAATACTTCAGCTTCAACCATAACAATACAAGAGCATTCAATAGATACAAACTCAAGGTAAACCGCACCAAACTTGATTGCAGAAAATACGACTTTAGCAACAGAGTGGTCAATGTCTGGAATACTCTACCTGACTCTGTGGTTTCTTCCCCAAACCCCAAAAACTTTAACCTTAGACTACTAAGGTTACTATTGACCTCACCCCTTTCCTAAGAGGTCTGTAGGGGGCGTACATAAGCACACCAACCTGCCTACCATCCCTGTCCTATTGTTTCTTTTTATTTTTCTTATATGTATCCATTTCATATATTCATAACTATGTTTATACTTATACCTGTTCTTTTATAATCGCTTGACAAATAAAATAAATAAATAAAATAAAATTGCTTGTGATCTCCTACTTATGTGAAGTTGGGCAACAACCTAAGGCTATGAAAAGATAGTTATGCATCATAGTCCCCATCCTATGGAACAAACTTTCAAGTTTGACTTGCTCTAAAATTGATGGCATTACAGAATCAAGTTAAGACAAAGCTCTTCTGGAGCTCTCTCTTTTTTAAAAAAAAAACTTAGTTAAGATGATACCATCTTTTGAATTTGCTTTTTGTGTGTTGTTCCATTTATAGCCTGCCTTGTTGGTTGTCTTTAAATTTTAACCTTTTGCACCTTGAGTATTTTATTTCTTACCATTGATGCTTTATGTTTGTGATATTGTTGAAAATCTTGATTATGGAAGTATAAAATTGGAATGCAGTAAATACAGCCCTTCCATGGTGTAAAATGTGTGTCAAATGATCATAGGAAAATATCAGCATGAAAAGGAATCTTTTTCACTTCAATCATATCCAGTGAGAAATCATGCAAATTCATCACACAAATGCCCACACAAATGCCCATCTGAATTCATCACACAAATCAGTATGTGACAGGCTGTATATTTTGGACTGTTATAGAAATGATATTCATATTAAAAGTGACTATCTCAAGTGTGAAATTTGAAGCTTTGTCTGCCAGAAATGGACCAAAGAAACCAATATACCGAAAACAAAAGTGATGTGAAACAACGGAGAAACTCTCCCATCTTTCATAAATTGAATTGACGTCTTTCATAAACAAGGCCTTTGTAACGTTCCACTGTTTCTGGAACTAATGCCCTGAAATCAAGAACATTCCTTAGCATTGACTAACTCACCCTGCATCGTGCTTGTTGGATAGGAAATCTCCTGCAGGAAGAGGGAGGTCTGTGTAATTTGTGCCTTGACCCGTCAACTCTCCACTCCATCCTACCTAAAATACAAAGACAAAGCTCAGGAACCCAGTGCCATTTCTCTGAATGTGAAGACTAATTTTCACTCTTGGAAGCTTCTGGTCCAGGTATGGCCCCTGCCTGTTCTACCTCTATGAGAAGTTCTTCCTGGATTATACAATTCTTTCAATAAATGCCTCAATCCAATTAAATAAAGGTGCTGAAGAAGCTCCTAATTAGATACCTTTTTGTGACTGGCCCGACTAAGGTATATATTGCAATTTTTAAATAAAATCTCCTTGTAATTGATCTGCTACATTAATAGAACGTTATATTGATATTTCCATGGCTCCATCCCAATGTATCTATAACTGCCAGTAAAATTTTAAAATGCAAATCCTCTAATGTTAGCTAAGAATAGCAATACCCAAATTAAACATAAATTTTGCAACAGAATGCAAACATTATCGTTCATTGTATTATGTTATTCCCAACTGCATCCAAAAATATTTCATGAAATAATCATAGATCCTCCCAGTATTGGAGAACAGTAACCTCTGAAGTATCTGTCAGGTTCACATACTAATAGGTAGAATACCTATTAATATTTATATATTTAAAAGTGCTTCACCTACACTTGAAACAGAATATGCTCATAGAAAAGTCTTACATTAAAATTTTCCACATGGGGAACTATTGTGGTGTGAATGATCTCAGGAGTCCACTTTCCTTTAAAAAAACAGTTTTATCTACCTTTCATCTGCAAGAATTTTGGATTATAAACTAAGGATGCAAAGAATGGATTTAGTGGAGCAATATCACCAGTGGTTCCTTTTACCACCCTCAGAATGCCCAAAGTAGGTGAGCTTTTTCATTTTGGGTTTTTTTTTAGGGCAAAATGGGAGCCCTAAGACCTGCAAATATTTAAACAATTCATTTCATTCATTAAAATTCATGATACTCCATCAAAATAGGCCTTGGATCACCTACTTTTGAAAAGCCAAGTCTGGTGCAGACCTTGAACTCATAGGAATGCCTTTAAGTAATTTAATTGTTTTAAGCTCTTCAGAGCAGAGATCTATTTCTTTTTATCCCGCAATGGGCATACAGAAATGGGATAAATATAATTACATACAGAAATATGCCAATCAAAGAAATAAATCTGATTCTTCGCCATTCTACACACTTTTGTGTATAACTGTATTGTAATCTAATCTTTTAGTTTTTACTGTCAGCTATGTTTACCCACTCAATACTCATGGATATTTTTTATGTTTGCACTGTTTCTATCAGACACTTTCCAGCTGCCTATTAAAAATGAATCATGCTATTGGCACTGCCATGTTGAATGAAGCACCAGGAACCTAGGAGGAATCCTCCTGCCCTCACACTTCTGATCCACAATTACAAAGAGCAACTCTTTGGAGAACTGAATGGAGAAATGGAGAGATCACAAAGAGTCTTGAGTAATAGCTGGAACTAACAAAAAATGCTAAATGTTGTTTTACATCCTGGTTTAATTTTAGACACATCGAGCAACCAAAGATGTGCCCCTAGCTGGACAAGATTTCTTTTTCTACAGTGCAGGGCTGGGAAGCTTCCTGAACAATCACTCCCAAGATCCCTCACCAATGGTATTTTGACTTTGGGGAATATCGAATCAGATATTTGGGATCCTATCTTGAGTTTGTAGGTTTGTATTTTTCTCAGACTCCCACAAGGTGGCAACACAAAACCAGTTTTTTCCCCCTACTGCTTTCTTTGCCCATACAGAAGGAGTTTCTTCTCACTATTTCCCAAGGACTGACAGAGTTCCTGGACTTGACTTTTCAGAAAATAATACAGAAGAGTCCAAATTCCTTCAGAGAGCATCAAGAACCCAACAGTTCAACCCTGAATTCCATATATTGTCTTTTATTGTAGAGACACATTAACTTCTTGGAATGTCTCGCTCTATATTTTTAGGAGACCTATAGATAAAGCTGGAACATGACCACTGAAGTAAAAACAAGGGTAGAGAAAGCTCGAACAGCATTCTTCAAAATGAAAAAGGTCTTCTGCAGTCACAACACAAGGCTAAGATTGAAAATCAGATTGTTTCATCTTTTCTATCCTGCTCTACAGAGTGGAGAGCTGGTCTCTTGAGTCACTTGAAGAGATTAGAAGCATTTGAAATGTGAACTTACAGGTGGCTGTTATGTATAAATTGGGTAGATAAAATCAGATGATAAGCTGCCTGGGAAAGCCAAGGGAAATAATCAAAACCATAAAAAGCGACAGTCAGAATATTTTGGACATGCGATGTGACACCTGGAAAAATACGGCATACTTCATTTAATCCTCCAAGGAAAGACTGAAGGCAAACGAGGTCCAGTCAGAAGAAGAACATCATGGCTTCAAAATCTAAGGGACTGGTTTGGACAAAACTCAACAGTCCTTTTTCGTGTGGCTGTTGATAAAACTAGGATAGCCAACATGATCACCAATATCCGATGATGGATATGGCACAAGAAGAAGACAGATAAAGCCACTTTCTGAAGAACAAGCACTCCTACCCTTTCTAAGTTGTTTGGTCTTTCTTGGAATCTGCCAGGGACCATGAACATATTTTCAGAAACACCCAGCAAATATGGTCCATTTAATTTTTCCTTTCCTTTCACCTTTCATGTAGGGCCACAATCAGATTTCTTTTATCTGTCATTCAGAAATGATCAAAGGAATTTTTGTTGTTTTCAATCACAGCCATACAAAAATGAATACATTGCTGACGTCTGCTTCCACATCTCGTAAATCGATACAGAAGTCATCAGCTTCTAGCAATAAGTTCAGATGTTTTGGATAATGACACTTTTCCTTTCCCAAGACCTTTGAATGGGAAAGCTGTGCCTTCTTATAGTGTTATGGCAAAGCTGCTAGGCCTTAATTTCACTTATCTGTATTATGGCAAGTATCCAAGATCTGAAAGTGAATTGACAAAAAAAGTTGGAACCACAGGAGATATGAGAGAAAAGCAACATGCAGAAATAGCTGGGCTATTCATTGAAGAGTTTGCTGCAAACCTGACTGGAAAGACCTAAATAACCCCTTGGGTTCATTCCTAAAAGTTGACACTTAGCATGCTAACACATGCAAAGCCAAAGTCAGATTGTTCCTGTTCCATCACTATAATTTGTGTCATTAACTGGTTATTTCACTGTATTCATAAAGGAGAAATGTTTAGAGTGGGTTTTGTAAAAATCAAATAGCGCAAGCACCCAAAACCTCTTTTTTCCCCACAGGCAATTCAGCAAACAGGTCAAACAATGGATAATAAAGAAGAACATACTTGTCAACTGTGGACAGTCTGAATGGCTATTTCTGAGTTACTTCAAAGCAGTTTACCAATAAGATGTCTTAAGTTCCACTTGGATTTTGATGTACTAGAGCAAAAGAAAAATATTATCCTTTTGGATGCCTAGAAATATCAGAACAAATGTTTACATTAAGGCGGTCTGTTGCCAAATTGTTGAAGGAAGCTCATTTGATGTTTACTTTCCAAAACAAAGGGATATTGGCAACAAAGAATTTCTTAATCTGGTAGATTGCCGACGTATTCACCATTCAGCACCACCTGCTCACCTTTAGAAAGCGTCAGTGATATATAATATACCATATGCGATATCTCTAGTGGCTAGAAACACAAGACAATGTCATAAAATTAGAGACACCAATCTAGAGACAAGTGTAGATGGAGCAGCCTTTTATAAATCCCACCACAGTAGGAATAAACGTGAGCAAATTAGACAGGCAGAAACTGCATCAAAAATTGCAACCATATGTTACAATTCCCACATTCCCCTCAATTGCAAATAATCAGCAGAGAGGTGCCTCTAAAATCAGTATTAGAAAGGAAAGGAAAAGTGGGCCAGCTTACTCCAGTGATGGTGGGAATTGGGCAAAGGGGCAGCATATACAGTGCAATCACTGGCACATTTACTCAGAAGTAAATATTTAAGAAGTAAGTATTTATGAATTGCACTCTTAGTTCTTAAAGAACACCAGCATCCATAAAATGTGTGGAACGTCCAGACACTCTTTTGGGTCTTAGTTGAGCACAAAGGACAAACCAGATATGGTCCAGCCTGATTGATCTGGACTGAAAGCTTCAACAGAAATCCCAGAAATAGAGAGGACCGTTGAGCAGATTCCTGGCCATCAGGAAAGGTAAAAGGCCACCCATGAGCTGGGATCAAGGACAAGATCGCCAACCTTTTTTCACACAGACTGCCCCTCTTTCCAGCCACCCACCAGACCTCCCCACTGCCCACCGTTGATTCCCTGCTTCCCTGTCTGGACAACTAGGACTTTTGGAAGCCACGAGGCAGACCGGATCGGAGCAAGAAGCCTGGGATCGAGGCAATCGGGAGCCTGAGCCACTCTCTGGAGAATCAATGCGCTTTTTTTAAGCCCTGATCTGTGGGAGGCAACCACGTTGCTCCTCCCTACACCCTAAGATCTTCCAAAGTAGATCTGCTTACACAAATCCATTCGCCCGTCACCCTCAGTTGCCCCGATCTCTCCTCCCCCAGCGCCCCCTCCCTTCCGCCGGTTTGGAAGGCGCTCACGCACTTTCCGAGCCCGCCCCACTCACCGTGCGCTCCGTCTCGACAGATCGGGCGCCTTCTGTTGCGCGCGGCTCTCCGGGGACCATGCTCCGAGACTCCGGGCCGTGAAGCGCCTCCTCCTGGGTACCGGCCCTTCCAGGGCATCGAATTCGCTCCTTGTACCGGAGAGATGACAGTCGCCGTGGGCCAGGTTAGCGCTCGCGGGAGCGAGATACCCTCGCCAAAACAGCTACGGAGCTGGGGGATCCTGAACTCTTGTTTTTTTTTTTTTTTCAGGCGGACGGAGATTTTGCTTCTCCCCGATTTGGGTCGGAGCCCAGAATCGGGGCAGGCGCGCAGGCACGCACCCCGACAGGTTTCCCGGCTCGGGACTCCCCGCTGGCCCGCTCTTGCCCCTTACCTCCCGGCGACGGCAGCTCCTGCCTTCAGCCGGCCCCGGGGGCCATGGCCCGACGTCCCCCAGGATCTTTCCACTGAAGTCGCCGGCCTTCACGTCGCCAGCATGGCCAGCAGGTGCCCGGAGCGCTCAGCGCCCTCCTGTGGGGGGAAAAGTTCGGGTTGAAAAGCGGCTGAGGGCCCGGACAGAAGCGGCGGGGCGGGCCCCGATCCACGGACCAAACCCCTTCCAACGCCGGCCCGCGCTCAACTCGCGCAGCAAGGAAAATCCGCCAAAGGAGCGCGCAGCCGGCGGGACTCGGACTCGTGACCGGCAGAACGCCAGTCCAGGCGGCCTCTGGGAGGGAGAAAAGGACCAGCTCCATCTCAGCGCCTAGCCGAGTCTGGTGTCAAATTCCAGGCTCAGCTGTCACCTGATCCCCGGAGCGGGGCGGAGCGGGTTAGTCCCGCCGACGAAGAGGAAGAGAGCGAGAGCGAGAGCGAGAGCGATCCACGGAAAGGATGGCGAAGGAGCTCCCCCGCCGCCACCCCCTTCTCCTGGGACCAAGGGAATTTAGAAGCAGACGTCGCCGATGGACGCCACCTGTGCGCCGAGTGCCTGGGCACTTTTACACTGGAGACGAGGGGAGCCCCCTGGAAGCTCACAGGGAGTAAGAACGCGGACGGGCCATTTGGCAGGACTAAAACCCAGCCCTCAAATCCTGCTCAGAGAAATGAAGGAATGGCTCCACGTGAAATGACAGGGAATAGCAACGGCAGACTGGGAGAGAGTGGAAGGAAGGACCTTTGTTTTCTCATGGGCCTTCTGGTCCTAATACTCACCTCCCTCAGCCCAGCTGCACCAACAGAAGAACACATGTGCACATGGGCAAGTAAACAGAAGTTTAGTGCTTGCTGGGTGATCCCAGTAGCAGAAATTATCTCTGTCTATTCATTGCCTTGGGCACCAGTCTTGACAGTCTGTTTGTCCAAAGAGGAGAGAGTGATTAGGAAGATCTTCACAAGAAGAGAAAAACAACAACAACAACAACAGATAAATGAATAGAAGCAGTGGTTGAATGAATAGAAGCAGATAAATGAATAGAAGCAGTCATCACCAAAGTATCACAGGTTCACTGACAGACTCTCCGCAGCAATTCTCAGACACTAACTTGGTGTCTGACTCACAGATCTGAGCTTGGTTGAAGACTCTTGGACATACAATATGATCTAGCACAGTGTTTTTCAAACTTGGCAACTTTCAGGTGTCTGGGTTTCAACTCCTATAATTCTCCAGTCGGCAGGCCACTTGGAGAATTCTGGGAATTGAAGGCTACAAATCTTAAAGTTGCCAAGTTTGAGAAAAACTTGATAGCACAAATAAATAGGAAATTTTATTGCATTCCTTAAGTTACTTAAATAATTTGTTGGCTTTTGTCAGCCTGAAAATGCAGTCAATTCTTAACTGACAGTAGATTAATTCCACTGTGTTTTTTCCTGCCACCCTTCCCATGGTTCTGCCTCACACTTTTTGGTCTTGAAGCTGAGGTTTTGTTGATATAATTGACATTTCTTGACAGAAACTCTGGCTGCCAGTGCTGACTCCCAGACTGTTGCTCAGAATTCACAGCAATTGTTGCTCCTCTGAAAGTACTGGTAACCTAACAGCTGGTGAAATGGACTAATTCCTTGCACTACTCTTGGTTCATATGATTATGGATGTGTTCATCTCTAACAAGGAGTCATGTTATGTTAATGATGCTACTCTTCCATCTACATTTCCTTGGCAGAACCTCTGCAGTTCTTATTTTCAGGTTCTCAGATATAGAAGACATAGACATCTGATACAAACTGAAGAAAAAAAAATTAGGAAATTGTGCATTACCATGCCACAGTGTCATCCTGGCCTTTTCTATTTGCATCCTGGTGTTGGACATGATATATTTCAATATCTTGACATACATTTGGTCATTTATTCCTCCTCTTCCCCCTTGTAGATGCCTATTGTTTAGGAAATTCTGTGTTTAGGAAATTCTTACAAATAACTGAGACTAGGTGGAGATAATCCTGGACCATTTGCATTTATTCCAATCCATTCAAAGTTCCCTCATTTAGCTGAGTTTTTTCTAGAGTGAGATGAATATAAAGTAATTATTTCACTTTAATTTTAGAATGACTTAGAAAACTTGTATTTTACCAGTGACATGTACCAGTGATCTTTCCAGGATAGAAAGATATATCCAGGATGTATCCTGTCCATATCATGGACAATCATACACTTCACATCTCCTTGCTACCAATCCAAGTCTGTGCTGCTGGAATTTGACAGCACAATCTCAGAATATTTTTCAGTCTTGGGGGGGTTTACAGGTGTTAGCAAATTGTGTCCCAGTGGCTACCTACTCCATTCCCACTTTGAACCACATCCACAAATACCCTCTCTCTCCCCAAAGCCCATACATTTCAGCTGTACACCTGCTGGGGATTCACTACATCACTAATGGTGCTCCTGCAGGAAGTGACCATATCAGAAGTATCCACCATGCTCTACTTTAATATTTAAAATTGAGTGGCAATAACTTTCCATTAATTTGGTCAGATCCTTCTCTGTCCATTTCTGGAAAGGGCAGGAACAGAATGTAAGGCTTAATGCCTGCAATGTCTACCATTCTAGCCCTTCTTGGCTATAATTCCTGGCTCAGACCTCAGTGGCAAAGGTGACTCTTTGCTAGACGTCACCAGTGGAATTCCCCAGATGACTCACAACTTCCCTCCCTACAACAGGTACCCTCCTAGACAAAGTCCCACATAGTGGCTGAAATATTCTATCAATCAGCTTATGGACAAGTTGTTACTTCAAAACATCTGTTTTATTTTTATACTGTCCTTAAATAACTGCGCTGGCACAGCAGAAATTTTCTTGGACTTCAATTAGCTTTTTCCTGGGAGGCATACATGGAAAGGGATTGTGCCCCTTTATTTTTCCAAGTTCCCTGATTTCAGACAGCTTTGGAGCATGAAGTGATGTCTCACATCTCCTGCCTACCCTTCCCTATTTGCTGTTGTATGTAAGCCCCTCCCTCCATTTCATTTCTGACTGGCTACATTTGCTCTCAGTTGCTCTCTCTTATCTCTACTTACTTTTTCCCAACCGGGCGCGCTGTCTTGTCACCAGATCAAAACCAGTGTAGCTTGATCAATTGACAATCCAAATTGGAGGGGCTGGGCTGGGCTTATTTAATAACTTTGCTCTGGAGATCTGCTGGATGGCAAATGAGTCTGTGCTATGATACTGCATCTAGCCCTCCTCCCCTTCAGCCTAGCCAGCTCTATATATAGGTAAAACATTATTTACTCTTAGCCACAGAGGAACTTATCCCTGAGCACATTTGCTTAAATCTATTAGGATTATCCTATGTGACAGCTCCTTTTTTATTAAAGTGTAGCCACTCCTCTTTAGCTCACACTTGTATGAAATGAATGTCGTATTGTCCTTTCATGTGGCATAACTTGTTCAGAGACCCAGCATCAGAGTGAGTGCTATCAAAAAATATCATACTAAATGGATTTCTGGTCTCTCCAGCGATAAGAAATGAACTCTTCGATAGATTGAGGCATCAAGATAGAACATTCTTTTCCTAGATAGTGGCAACGTTAAGCACAGGAATTGTGGTCTTTTTACTGATAGTCTTCTAGTGATAATTCCATCTTGATCATAAAAATAATTGCTGCACAATGTATGTATATATACACCCAAACATTTCCCACTGAACATTTGGTACTCCCTCCTGCCTCCCTCAACTGTTTCAAGAGGGTTATTTTAAGCAACTATAACTTGTGCCTGAATTTCTGTATTTGCATTTTTCCTTCTCCATCCTTTCTTCCTTTTGGATAATGTTTGCATCATTTTCCATTTTAATCAATATATGGCTTTTTGAATGGTTTTGGAATTTTACAGATGAATCCTCCTCTAAATGATATAATGTGTAGAATAAAGAAGACTGCCCAGGATGGACCCACATGTGAATTAAAACATCCCATTTTCCTAGATTGTAAAGTGAACTTTTACAGTATATCATTATCATTTTATATACTTTTATATTCTTAACAGATTTGGGTACTCTTTTATCTCATGCCTTTTTATCTCTATAGAGTTGCCACTGTATAATCTGTTGAATTAATTTGCTGTAAATCATAAATATTACGAATGGAGAAGAAATAAATAAACGCTGCTCCCTGTTACATATGTTGTGGGTGTCCTTTTCTTAATTCTCCACAATTCAGAGAAATCCCATTAACTATGAGAGACATTTAAAGGGTTTATTTGTCTTTCTGCCACCATCCAACTCTTTTCTGATTTATCAAATGAGCTTGTTCTTTTCTTATCTTTATATCTTGGAGGTGACATAATGGCACATTTTTAAACCAAGAAGCAAGTTAACTTTTAATAAATAACTTAAAATGTGTTTAAAAACAGGTTAAATTAATATTCACATGTCTATAGTTGTAAATTGTTGTCTTCCCTAGTACTAACAGAAGATAGTCCTTGTATTACAACAACACTTGGGACTGGAATTTCCATACATAAGCAATGCAATCGTAACATGTGATGTCACACGATCCTTAGCAACAGCAAATCTTGGTTGTTGTTCTAATCCCAGGGCTGCATAGGTCATAAAGCAAAAAGCCCAGGACTGCATGGGAGTCCTAGTCAAGAAGACAGGCGGATGCACAGGTAGCATGATGGGTATTGCAGGTAAACAATGCAGAGGACA